TTATATATACAATTATATATACAATTATATATACAATTATATATACAATTATATATACAATTATATATACAATTATATATACAATTATATATATAATTTTGAATTGCCCTCAGAATTCTGTGGTACCCACAAAACTGGGGTTAATCAGCTGAAGCAACTGCCACCCGTCAGCAAATGAGCAACTACCTTCTGTATTGTTTGTACTTTCTGAACAATCTTTAAAGGCAGGCTGTTGTAACATTCTAATGTTAAGGTATAAGGTGAAAAGTCACTGTTGCGGAAATTTGTTGGCTATAAAAAGAGCCACAAATGACCCACCACCCAAAGCTTGTCAAAGGGATCCCCTATCCATGGCTTTTACCTTTTGATCAACTGTCCAGACCTCTTCTTTCCTGTAGGGACCAAATCCTTTAAATGACTGACATTTTAAAAACTACTTTAGCTACCTATTCTTTGGATTAAGAAATATTTCCTAACTTATGTAACCAAATTCTTTGCAGTTCAAAAGTTATATGAAAAATCCATTTTGAATCCTGATTTCAGCTGCAGTCTATAGAAAACAGAAAACTATTAAATTATCAAAGTTCTAACCTTTTTCTCAACAGATACCTTCACAATCACCTTTCATTTTTTAAAAATAAATCAGTTCAATTTTGACTGTGCAATTTTAAACCTAAATATTCAATATAAAGTTTCACTGCTCAGTAGAGCTTACTCAAAAATAGGTGTACCTAGCATTGTACTCATACTTGCATTTTCTTACTTCAAAAAATAAGCTGTATAAAGAAAATGTAACTTATTTGTAAGAAATATACTAGGTATTTTATATTTCTGATATACGGTATGCCTATAAGAATAGATTGTCAGTTCCCTTTTATGTATATATCAGATGTAAATGAGTGTGAAGTTTTTCCGGGTGTGTGTCCCAATGGGCGGTGCATCAACAACAGAGGCTCTTTTCATTGTGAGTGTCCCAACGGTCTAACCTTGGATGGAACAGGCAGGGTGTGTTTAGGTGAGTATTCAAGATATTAAGCTTCTGTCTATCTACATAAGCCACTACAAGTTACACAGTGAAAGAGATCCTCAGCTTTTATCACTCACACACGTTGGCCTTTTCTAGTCTGTTATCATCCAAATGCTATATATCTGCAAGTCTTGGACTCTCAGACATATTTGTGAAGTGAAGAAAAATGAGATAGAACAGGTATTTTCTGCATTTATTGTGCACTTGTTCAGGTTTAGCTTCAGAGTCAGAGATGCTAAAGACAAGAATTACATGCTAGAATTATGCACACAAACACAACACAGGCACACATAAACACCCACACATACATATACACATAAATATACATATACATATACATGCAAATGTATTGATCATAAATGTCTGTGGAGATTCAGTCATCCAGGTCATGATTGTCTCAAAGATGCTTTTTTCAAGAGGCAACTGGACTTTCTGGTTTTTCTTTGAAAACGTTTCGCTTCTCATCCAAGAAGCTTCTTCAGCTCTGACTGCATGGTGGGGTATGGAAGGATTTNAGATGTTGGATAGCCATTTGTCTGAAACGGTATAGGGTAATAGCAATAGCAATAGCAATAGCAGTTAGACTTATATACCGCTTCATAGGGCTTTCCTTCCTAGGGTTTCCTTCCTAGGCAGGGGGTTGGAATTAAAGATCTTCAAGGTCCCTTCCAACTCTGCTATTGTATTGTATTGATTGGTTATGGTGACGTCAGCAAACTTTCTTCAGACATATCTTGGGTGGCCAGATTCTATCTGACTAAATGGTCTCACAGGTAACCAGATCTTAAGGCCCTTGTATGTTGAACCAATTTGCATTGAAGAAAATGTCTTCTTTACAAGTGTTTATGGATATACTAAAGAGTCCCAGTTGGCCTCCACGCAGTCGCAGTTATACATTTAGCATTTTCAGAACAATGTTCAGTTCCACATTGTGGGTGAAGTGATAAGATCATGAGTGACCATTGCCAGAGTTTGTTTGTGTGTGTTTGTTTGTTTGTTTGTTTGTATGTATACAGAATTTTACATTCAAAAGGAAAATTTGTCAATAATTCCATAAATCAAAAACATCTTCCTAGGATTGTAAAGCAGCTGCAGCTGCATGATCCTGATAAAAGTTGCAGCTGCTTTAAGGAATTATTGACAGATGCTGCATATATCAGCCATGTGCTGTAGTCTAGATGATATTTTTATATTTCTATGTTATATATTTATAAATTTAATAAATATTTTTTTCTCTTTGAATCTGAGTCCTACCTAACCTGGATATGCACAGGTATGCATGTATGAATACCCATACTTATAAAAGTTTGTCTTTGGTGAAGTTATATAAAATGTATGTGTTAGGGGAAAATACTTCCAGGTTTTTTTTTTAAATGGAAGAAATGGGATAATGAGTAAAATACATGCAAATCTGAGATGGATTTATTAATATATCTTTAGTTCATAAAGCATGAAATATTTTGTTATTAGGATAGTGGGATTTGCAATATTGGACTTATTTGCTATTACTCCAACAATCATTCTCTTAGTATATTTTTTCCTTCATGTAGCTGATAAAAAATGTTTTCCGTTTTTAAAACTGTGGTTTATCCTGTTCTAAACTAAGTTTGTGTGTGTGTGTGTGTGTGTGTGCGCGCGCGCGCATATGTGTATTTCTCCAAATGTTTCTTCTTTTCTCTTACAGATTCTGCATGCCCTAGAGGATTTGCAAGAGTCAAAGGTGTTTCTTGTGAAGGTAATCTTGTTAACTATTTGAGTTATTTTAACTAACAAAATAAAATGAAAGTATCTTACATGACACATATTGCAGTTGAAATCTACTTATTGTTCTCCAATGAACACTATCTTTTATATTAGAATAATAATTGTAATCTTTCCTTTGAGTTCATTTCAACTCCTTCAGGTTCCAGTTATTTTCTGGCAATAGAAGATATGGACCTATGCTCCATATTCAGTGGTGGGTTTCAAATTTTTTTAGAACCTCTTCTGTAGGTGTGGCCTGCTTTGTGGGAGTGGTTTGCCGGCCATGTGACCGGGTGGGAGTGGCTTTCCACCATGTGACTGGGTGGGTGTGGCCAACTTGTAAAATATAGTGAAACTCACTTAATAACGCTCTTGCTTAGCAACCAAAATGTTGGCTCAGAAACCC